ACCTCGTAAGCTGTATTACTACCCTACTGTGCAACATTTAGACGCAAGAGCGCATTCCCTCATCTTGGGACGAGTCAATGGTCGTTCCCATTTTCAGGAAAGGATCCCGCAACGATCGCGAAAATCACCGCGGGATAAGTTTGATCCCGATCGTCACCAAAGTGCTAACTTCGGTTATACTTCGACGTCTGACGCCTTTAAGAGAGACGAACATCCGTGAACAGCAAGCCAGATTTCGGCCTGGCCGTGGATGTATTGATCAAATTTTTATGTTGCGTCAGACCCACCGTCGACCAACGATCGCAGTATTCCTTTACCTGAAAGGAGCCTTCGACTCAGTTGACCTCTGAGATCTGATGGGTTCCCTTTTTCGAAAAGGAACGCCCCAGAAGTACGTTAACCTACTGAGGTTACTGTACTCACATACCTCCGGTCGTGTAAGGGTTTACAACGAACTAAGTAGAGCGTTCGTCACCAGCAGTGGCGTTCGTCAAGGTTGCCCTCTCTCGTCGTTCCTGTTCAATTTCGTCGTAGTCGACGTACTGGAGAACGCACGAAGTGAACTGCAAAACGTACGTGTTGAATGGGCAGCTGGAGAAAAGCTGTGAGGTTTAAAGTACGCCGATGACATAGTCATTCTGTTCGGATATATGGAGGACGCGCAAAGCGCACTTGGTAGATTAACAAGTGCAGTTGCCACATTCGGTTGACCCTACCGACTCACGCAATACGCTGTAAACAACGTAGTCTGTACTCGGACAGTTCATCTTCCGGTTTTCATATTGAATTCCTAATTAACTTACTTATTTTTTAAAAATTTTATCACACACTTCGTATGATGAACAGCAGTCAGGGTAACTTCTATAATCATGAGGACCTGCTGTTCAGTGACGGAAACCGGTAGTCTAATCCCCTGGAATTGGAGTGGCGAACCAAATAAGACCCAACTAGGTTAGGTGAGGTATTGAACCCCAAGACAGCACAGCTGCGTACTTTCCTAGGGTTCGTATTCAGAATAAAACGAAAAAATTCCGACAATTACCGGGGTCCGCAGCCTTCTCTCTTCACTTTCTTACCCACCACTTCTCGTGATAATTCCCCATACTCTTGAAGCTGGCGTTCGACAGATCTGCGCGCTTCGCCGTAATTTGCATCAGCGGATGTTCGCCACCAGACCCGTCACATCAACGTAAACAATGAACTATCAGAGGTACATCAATGTTAGTACCATCCGAACGAACGGCTAATTTCCTAAAATTTTCCAAACCCTTGTGACCGCATGGCAAAATAAGCCTCTAAACGAAACTGCGGTTTTATCGATGAGCTGTTCATCCCGTCGCTACGTGCATTCCTGAAACGAACCACTGAAAGTGGACGGCGAAACCCTGGAAAGCTTTGACCACTGGTGCCTCCGACATATGGCTAACATGACCGCTGTCCGAACTCCAATGTCCGTCAACATTGCAAGGATACAGAGGCATCATCCTCATTTTCTTCACGACGCCTTTCGTACTGTTTTTTATGCCCCTTGCTGGTGAGAAGCAGACCTTAGAATGGAAAGTCTACCGTTGACATCTTGTCTGAATTGAAAATGTCGCCTCGGGGACAGCCAAAGTCGTGGGTTATCACAGGTATAGTGGGATGAAGATAATCTAGGTCTTCAGCTAATCTTCGGAGTGTGCAACTGGGGTAATATTTGGAGTTCCCGGTACGCCGACCATGCTGCTGATGGCAACGCATGGGTAGGTGCAATCAGAAACGGACAACAAACCAACTTATCCTCATGCATGAGATATTCACATAAAAGGTAGAAGGAAATAACGGAACCTGGTTAATGCTAGCGCGTGGTCATCTACGCCCCCTCAAAAGATAGCGAAACAAAGCCGTGACTCACATTTTGACCTCCCAAAAGATCAGGCAATCGCGAAAGGTACTACTAGCCTGAATGCAGACTAATGGCATGTAACTTGGAGTGAGTGAGAACACTTTAGCAGTTTCAGTTATATTTCGACAGNGTAGAAATCAGCCATAGCATCACGGCAAGAAACAGTTAGTCCATACGCATCTTCAGGTCAGAAACGGTAACTTTGTCCGGTTCGCTGAGGAAAAGATAACAAGAATGATTATATGAGCTGAGGGAACATGGTTCTGGCAAAATTTTTATATATTGCTTAATAAGGAGTGAGGAATATTAAATATTATAACATAGCGCATCTTTTTTATTAAAATAGTATGACGGGAATTGTAAAGTGGAGATCGCATTCAATTAATGAAAATCCACTCACATGAGGTAAACACGTGCGCCCCATCCCGAAAGACAGTCCCGATCGACGGCATTTAGAATGCACTGAGCAATACATTCAAACAGCTCCTTCGGTTTCTACCAAACAGAAGAGAACGCATCAACGCTTAAAAAAGTGAAATCAACCCGTTTTGCAGCTGAATACCAAATCGTAGGATAGAAAACCAAACATAGCTATTGTCTTCATTACATGTAACTAAAAAACGTCTAGTTACTTGAAGGTTTTCCCATTCCCTAACCAAATGATTTCAGACCATCAACGATCTGTCTAAAACTGTTCTGAGAATCTAACAATGAAATAAACCGGTAAACTCGTTGAAGAGTCACCGCACGCACATAATGGGTAGCTCTGGTAAATAAACTGCTGCTCCGCCCACACTCCATCTGTCTCATTGTGCATGAGCTTAAGGGCCAATCCCGAACAGCGGACCGACAATCAGCGCACCAGCGAACAAGAGCATGAACCGAAACCCTAAGGCCTTGCTTGAAAGGTCTCCAGAAGTTAACACGGGTGCTTTGGTTACGCTCCTGCGTTAGATCTACGCCTCACTGCGTTGTGGACCAGACTTTTGAGTAGAAGGCTCCGGTTAGGGTTTGGGCTGCCGCTAAGTATAGCGTGTCCCAAAGTCTTAGGTACCCATTTGGAATCAGTCTCATCTCTGTTGCCTCCAAGCTGTTAACGTCGTTGATCCTTCGCAGGTTCAGTTGGACAAGAGAGCGTCAAATTCGCGAAGAACAAGCTGGGTTCCGTCCTGGCCGGAGCTGCGTTGATCACATATTTACACGACGCCAGATCCTCGATCAACGTCAAACGTTCAGCAGACCGACCATCATTGTTTTTGGACATACGTGCTGTGTTTGACTCAGTTGACAGAGCAGCTCTTTGGACTTGTCTGTTAAGAAGCGGTGTGCGTGAGAAGTATGTAAACCTTCTCAAAGCCGTCTACTCAAACACATCAGGCCGCGTTAAGGTCTATGATCGCATCTCCCCTTCATTCACCATCACAAGTGGAGTTCGACAAGGGTGCCCAGCTTCGCCCTTTCTCTTCAATTTTGCAATAGACAAAATCCTAAGCAGCGCTTCCGGGGTGGTGGTGATCGACTCCGCGACTTGGAATATGCTGACGACATCGTTTTACTCTGCGACTCCTCCCAGGACGCTCAAAACGCCCTGTGTAAGTTGGCAATGTCCGTCACGCAGTTTGGTATNATCCGCAAGGCTCGGGTGGCTTTCGCTAACCTACGTCACTTGTGGCGCCGACGTGATCTCAGTCTCTCCTTGAAAGGCCGCGTTTACAATGCTACAGTACGCTCTGTTCTACTTTAGGGCTGTGAGAGTTGGCCCCTCCGCGCAGAAGATGTACGGAGATTGTCTTTGACCACCGTTGCCTTCGTTGCATCGCCAGAATACGTTGGCTATAACGAATCACCAACGACGAGGCTCGCCGAAGAATCTTCACCGCTGTCCGCTGAGTGCCGTCATCTCACTCCATAGACTGCGATGGCTGGGACATGTGTTGCGGATACCGGCTCAACGATTTTCTCATCGTGTTATGTTTGAGCAAGCAGACTAACTGGAAGAGGAGACAAAGAGGCCAGCGAATAACCTGGGCTCGAACAATGAAGATGCTAACCTCAAAACTGGCAGTGGTAGGGCGCTCTAGACTCCCAGGCTGGGGACCCAAGGACAGAGAACATCTATGGCTTGATACACTTGCAGACATGGCTAGTAACCGGCGTCAATGGCGCACCTGTTGCG